TTTTATGTTTTGCTGAAATATAATCAAATAGAATATATAGAATTATTATGTTTATTATAGTTTTCATCTTTTATTGTGTATTTAACATAACCACTAATATGATTACTTTTATTAACTTATTATTAAATACTTAATTTAATATTATTATTTTCAAAAATTTTTAAAAAGAAATTTTAAAACATTTATTCTATTTTTAGTTTTTTCAAGTTTATACATATTTTTATTAGTAAATAAATTTAACAAACTAAATCACTATTTTCTATAGCTGTTTACAATGATATAATTATCATTAATTTGCATGTATTTTGCAAATGCATGAAAAATTATTTTAAAAAAGTGAAAATTGATTAAATTCAATAAATATTTTTGATGTATCTAATAACTTATTAACTAGAATAAAAATTATTTAAAAATAAAACTCCCTTATGTATATTTTTTGATGTACCCTGGATGGTAAATATAGATTTTAATGGTTTTCTGAAAACTCACTCAATTTGTTTTAAGCATATAGAATTTGTATTTTAAAGTAAAGACTTTTATATTCAAATTAAAATAAAGAGTTTTATAGACTTTAATAGATTTCTTTGGATAACAAGTATCTTGAAGAATATCTTGCCTGTTATTTTAACATCAACTTTGACAAAATAATAAATAATAAATTTTAAAATTTATCTGCCTGGTTCCTTTCCTAAGGCTCGCTAAAAGCTAGATTTTGTATATCAGGCCTTGCGATAAAGCGTCGGGTGATGTTAATTTTACGTCGTCCAAGAGCGATTTTGTGTGTAGCTAGGGCTATTTGCATCGAGCAAAATATTTTTTTGTTTGAGTATATTTAAAAATATTTTTTAGCGGAATTTTAATGAAGTAATTTACGATTATTTTAAGGTTTAATAAAGTATTTTAAAAACTGCACGCAGTTGATATAAAAGTTTGAATATAAATAAAAATAAATGGATTAATATTAAAACGTTTTCTACTTGATTCAATAAAATAGTACAGTTATTAAAATTTTTGTAAAAAGTAACTCAAAAAAAATTACTTAAATAATAACAATGACTTTTTTGTTAAAAGTTACTGAAACTCAACGAAACGTGCTCAATTCTAACATTTTATTTTATTTTACTAGAAATGAAATTCCTTGTAAACATTAAAAATCTATTCAAAACGTTCGTTAAAGTTTTTTAGTAATACGAGTGATTGTGCTTATCAACCGCTTTATGAAAATAAATGAAAATAATTACAAAAATATTATATAAAATCGCTGGTAAAAATATTAGCTATTGCACAGTTTTTAATCGTACAATATTAAAACTTCCAGTTTATTACTCGCTGACTTTTTAAAAAGAAAAAATAATTATTTGAAAAACTTTAAAATACGTATTTGAGAAAAAAAAAATCAAATATTAGCACATTTTATAATCTTTTTTAAATGTTTAGTTATGTTTTTTATTCCATAAGTATAGACGAAGCGTGTCAAACGTCGAGAAAATAAACGTAAAAACGAAACATTCCATAACACTTTTAAATAATAACATTTCTACATTGATGATATAAAGTAGTTTTGTGGTAATTAAGTAAATTGGTGCAGTTAATGTCGATAAATATGAAAAGCAAATGCAAAGAATTTAATGACGTCAAAAATCACGTCGAGCTTATGCGTCGCGCAGTTTTTAATCATCACAAGGCCTGATATATCACTTGGTCTTTGAAATTTTATTACCAGAAATTGCTTACCTACATAAACAACACAAAGTAAATCTTTTTATCACACTGGATTTTGCTGAGATTAACGTCAAAAAAAACAACTGATCATGTCATGTGTCAAAAATGAGCAAAAAGAAATGACAGAAGCAATTTGTTGGTTTATCTCACAACATAGCAAACTAATATCTATAAATATTTCTAAGAAAGAATTAAGCCATTTTTAATGAATATATGTTACAGTCATATTAATTATCATTAATTTGGGCGCATTTTGCAAATGCATAAAAATTGTTCATTTAAAGGGATCCCTAAGTGCTCCTAACATATGATCTCATATGAAAGAGCATAAAAAAAAATATGTAAGTTTTTTTTCTTTTTTACTAAATTGTAATAATAAATGCATGCTAACAAAAAGCAATTGCCGAAATCACTAAAAAACAACTCCATTTTGATTTTATTTTTTCACCATTGAAACTCGATTGTTAGTTGTTAAAAATCACGTTAGTACGTCACAACAACTTTAGAATATCTACTTCGATTTTCAAGTAAAAAAAATCGTGATTAAATAGTTAGTTTTTAATCAAGTTTTTTTAATTAGTTTTGCAAAAACAGTATAATAGCATTCGGTTGAAATACGTCGTTAAAAAAAAGTTATTAAGTAATAGTTTTAAATAGTTTAGAACTTATAAAAAAGTCTTACAGGGCTCTTATTAAGCGTATCGCGATCGCGATTGCTACACACACTTTTGTGATTAGTTTTTTCTTAAATCTTTTCGCGACTTATTTTTTTTTTGGTTGATTATTTTTTTTTTTTTTGAGCTTAGCATTTTTTTAGCAAATCTTAAAAGTAATGTTTTTATCATAAAGAACGTCACACAAAATTTATTATTCTGAATAGATAGATGAATAGATGATTTGCTCTTTTGCGCGGAGATTTTCTTTCAACGTAAAACATTTTTGAATTTAAATTACTTTAAATCTCTGCGTGGAAAATTTTTACAAGGTCGTTTAAGCGAAAAGTTGAAAAGTTGGTTTTTATCTTTGTTTATCAAAACTTCATGTTTAAAATAAGGCTTACAAACGTTAGAGCAAAAAAATTACTGACTTTTATTTGCATTTTTATACTGTTTGAAAAAAAAAACTAATAAAAAAGAATTAATTGTTATTATTATTAATTAATATATTATTAGTTAATTTTTTTTTATTAGTTTTTTTTTTTCAAACAGTATAAAAATGCTAATAAAAACCAGCAATTTTTTTATTTTAACGTTTTTAAGCCTTATTTTAAACATGAAGTATAATTCGATTTATTAAACCAAATTTTTTTGTTTCATCTTTTATTGGAAAACTTGAAATAGAAAAATTGAATAAAAACATCAACCATTTAAATGAAAAACTTAATTATATTTAAACTTTTATTGAATTAGTCCTTTATTCAAGAAACAATAAATTAAAAAAACGTTGTATCTAATTTTTTATTAAGTTTTTGACGATGTTTTTTGATTTATTGACGATAATTTTTTCCCCCCATTACCGCACATCGGCGCGAGCTATAAAAGAGAGGGGGGGGGGGAGAGCAAAAAAAAATTTTTTTTTTTTGCTCTTTTGCGATTAGATTTTTTTGCGTTAATTCGAGCCCTGTCTTATCAATTTAAACCAAAAAAACCTTATCAATTTAAACCAAAAAAATATAACAATTTAACATAAATGTTAATTTAACTAAAACATTTTACAATAATTATTTTTTTTATCAAGCAAAAATGAGAGTAACCGTCACTTTTGAAACCATAAAAATTACCGAAAAAAATTTATTTTTCTACTAAATATTTTAAATAAACTTTCATGTGTCTAAGTCAATATTCATTTGTTTTTAACTGACTAAAAAGAGTTTAAAATTTGACTTCTATTCATTTTTAGCCGTGGAATTGCCCTTATAACACAAATATATAAATTAATATTATAAAAAAAACTTTAATATACAAATATATTTTCACAAAATGCTACAAAACTTATTTTTGTAAGTAATTATGAGTTAGTTGAAAAAAAACGACTTTACTTTTAAATTTAATTACCAACTAATAAGTTTGCAATAATGACATTTTGTCTACTTTGTTTAATTTGACGTACAAACGTTAGTTTTTTGAGGCAATAGAGTCAATAAACTTTCGACAAGACGCTTTTTTTTTAATCGAAGGAAAGCGTTTTTTTGAAAATTAAATTTGTTAGTGTGTGTTCATTATTATGTTTTAGAAAAAATAATATACATCAAACATTTTTTTTTTTATGCTCTTTCATATGAGATCATATCTTTATAGCACTTAGGGATCCCTTTAATAATTTTTGAACAAATTTAAAACACTGTTTACTATTTTTTTTTTTACTTTTAAAATTACTAAACTATGTTAAAAAAAAAGAAAATTTATTTTATCAAATTAAACTTAAGTTACTTTTTACTTTGTTCGTTTAACTATTTTGCAGTTTTATAGTTTTAAATCAATAATTTTTTCCATCCTGTTACAAAAATGCTGATATACTTATAGTTTATTACATATGAAATGTATTGGTTAGCAATTTTCAGTTCTAATTTTAAAAAATTGAGTATTTTAAATGTTTGCATATTAATAATTTTAATTAAGTTATTTGTAATTAATTGATATAGAATTACTAGAGGTTTTGTTAATTAGCTCTCAAACACCCCTTTCCTTCAACAGCTGCTTTATATAATTAAGATGTTTTTGTGGATTTTAAAGGTTCGTGAGATGAAACAAGAAGATGTTGAAAGCAAATAAATTTATGAGTTGTAGACATATATCATGTAACTGATTTAATTAAATTTTAACAATATAAATATGTATTTTTATGTTATTTTTATTTTTATACGCTTTTGTGTTACGCAACATAATATAATATAATAACATTGTGAAAGGATATTGATTAGAATATTGTGAAAATTTGTTTTAGCATCCAAAACGTAATTCTCAAGATTGTGGCTAGAAAAAAATTTTAATTATCCTAAAATCAATCCCATTGTATAATCTAAAAAAAGATATTATCTATTGCTTAGACAACTAAAAAACTTTAAACAATACTATTCTGCTTACAACTGGACAATTAAGTCCAAGTAGTTAAACAAAAAACAAAACAAAAAGGAAGCTATTAAGAAAATTCATTTGATAATCAGAGGTTTTGTCATAAAATCATTATTTCACTATATTTATCAAATTTTTAAAACCATAACTTATATTATTATATTCAACTTATATTGCTCATTTATTTAGAAAACTTATATTACTTACTTGTTCATTTAGAAAAACAATATACTGATTTAATGAAGTTAAAAAAAATCCAAAAAGCATTCCAATACTAGAATCAAGAGTTGATAACATATCTTTTTTACGCTGTGATGTCAAATAGTCATCTGAGCCATTCAGATCTTCAAATAAACGCTTGAAAATAATAAGGACAAGTTCCAACTGAGCAGGCTAATGAAAAAGTAATCAATATTGTTATAAGTTTTAACTGAGCACAAATTGAAAAGGTTAAATATTGTTATAAACATTGATTATAACATGTTGTCGCTTATTTTAAAGTTTAAAAAACATTTCTATTTTATGCAATCATCTAAAAATAAAAAGATCATATTCTGAAACATATTATTATACACTAAATAACCAATAAAATTAAAAGTGTCACAAATATTACAATCATTAGGTTTTATCACGTTTTATTACAATTTTATCAAAATTATAAGTACTCTCACTCTGATCAAGACCTTTCATTAGTCAAATTTAATTATCAAGTCAACCTTTCAGAATATTTTTTTTAATTATCAAGTCAACCTTTCAGAATATTTTTTTTAATTATCAAGTCAACCTTTCAGAATATTTTTTTTAATTATCAAGTCAACCTTTCAGAATATTTTTTTTAATTATCAAGTCAACCTTTCAGAATATTTTTTTTAATTATCAAGTCAACCTTTCAGAATATTTTTTTTAATTATCAAGTCAACCTTTCAGAATATTTTTTTTAATTATCAAGTCAACCTTTCAGAATATTTTTTTTAATTATCAAGTCAACCTTTCAAAATATTTTTTTTTAATTATCAAGTCAACCTTTCAGAATATTTTTTTTAATTATCAAGTCAACCTTTCAGAATATTTTTTTTAATTATCAAGTCAACCTTTCAGAATATTTTTTTTAATTATCAAGTCAACCTTTCAGAATATTTTTTAAACACAAAAACTATTTAATTGATTTTATAAAACTCCTACTGTATAACTAATTTTCAACTATATAAATTTGTATATAGTTAGCATAGTTTTTATAAATAGTTTAATAAAATTAATTATAAAAAATGAATAGTAAAAAACAAAAAAAAATATTATTCAAAATTGCAGATAATACTAATAGTAGCATAATAATAGTAATGATATAAATAATATTATACATGATATAAGAGCAGTATGGTAATAGTAATGTTGAATGCAGAAATGCAGATAAAAGGTAATGACAAACTGTAATAATGGATGCAAGATTGAAAATTGGGATGATAGAAAAATGCGCCACAATGTTTCTTCAAACTTAATCACATTCACTAATTTAATCACATTCACAAATTTAATCACATCCACTAATGCTTAATTTACTAATAATTGAAACAAAAATTTCACACATTTCACTTTTAAATTTTAACTTTAAGTATTTGTTTTGTACTCAAAATGATTATAAAAAAACCATACACTTCAAGATGTCTTAAAAAATGTCAAAAAATTTATATGATGGCGATGTTATAGTGAAATGCTTTGTTTACTTTGATTAAAAATTTTATCATTCTGTTACGATCCAAAATTATCTTGCTGATTTTTATACAACTTTGAAAGTTTTGTTTAAAACAAAAACACAACAGTAAAAAAGTTTAATGTTGGTTTTAAGGTAGCTGCAGCTGTTGAGTTGGTGTTATTTTGCTTTGAAAGACATACCTTAGAAAAATGTCTCTTTTTTTCACACTTGTTACAGGTAACATCTTTAGCTTGACATCAATATCCAGGATGCACAGTGTTTCCTCAAAAGAAGAAAACTTTGTTTTTGAGTTGTTAGTGTTAGAAATGATAGCAGATGTGGTGAGAATTTATGTATTCTCATTAGAAACAAATGTTGTAAAAGTAGGAGTTTTAGTATACTAAAGGTAGATAATCTTCAGAATGCTTTTGAGCAGATTCGTAAGCTCTAGCTTATATATAACACCTAATGTCATATCTGTATTTTCGAGAAGTTGTTGTTGGATTCCTTATAATCTTTGGCAAGTATATTAGGTGCTTGGATATAATCTTCAAATGATTCACCTGATTTCTGTCGACATGTTGCCAAACAAGTTGAGGAAATATAGTGTTTAATGGTTTATATAGATTACTTAAAGTTTCTATAGCAGAATCATTAGTGTTACATTCACTGATGTATTCAAAAATCTGATGAGAAAGAAAATTAGTAAAAATTTGTCAATGTTTACTTGAGGTAACACTTGTCAATGTTTACTTGAGGTAAAATTTGTCAATGTTTACTTGAGGTAAAAAATATTCAAAAGTTCTAAACCAATGGTTATTAAATTATTTCTTGGTTAATTGATGATGTGTTTGGATTCAAATTGTGCTGGTTGTAGAGCTTTGTCCATTTGGTCTTTGTTACACAATTATTAACAAATTAATAAAACTGTTTTGGACTTACATAACAGGTTAAATAACAATATTTTATACGATAAATAACAATAACTGAATTATTGTTATTTGCCTTTAGTGATAATATATATATATATATATATATATATATATATATATATATATATATATATATATATATATATATATATATATATATATATATATATATATATATATATATATATATATATATATATATATATATATATATATATATATATATATATATATATATATATATATATATATATATATATATAGCTAACTAATTTGCTATATAAACTCTATAATCTTAAAAAATATTATAAGCAAAAGAGAAAGGTTCACTGAAGTTCATGCAATATTATTATTATATTGATCTCCTTTTTATTTTCACAATAATATACAAACTTGTCAAAAATAAACAGAACAAAATAATTTTATTCAATGCTAGGTAAACCCAACGTAAACCGAGGAAACTTTGAACATTTTTGAGATATTTTTATTTGCTCATCCTTTACTATTGACAATATTTAAAATTTAACAAAATAAATGGCAGGAAATACAGGAAAACAACATTTTTGCAGAACAAAGACACAACAGAGTAAAAGTTCTGCAAGACAAAAAAAATTTAAATAAGTATAAAAACAAGGTTTAAATAAGAAAAAAAATTAATATTTTAACATATTTTTTAAAATTATGACAGCTATAAGTCCAAGATTTTTTAAAGTAGTTTCTAAGTATTTTCAAAGCAATTTCTATGTATTTTTTTTTAAAACTGCTTTCTTTTTAATGATCAATAAATATTTTCTATGTATATTTTTAAAAAATCCTTTCTTTTTGCTGATCAATAAAAAGGAAAGTTATAAATAAATTTTTTTATTTTTTTTTAACATTATTTGACATAATAGTCCCATACTATAAAATCTTTGGATAAAGCAAGACATTAAACAAGAATTCTTGGTAGAGTTGGAATCAATAATATGAATAAACTTGTCAATCAACTTAAATATACAATAAAAGATACTGCCACCATATATTTGATACACTTGTTATTTGACACTTGCAAACATGAAGTTTGTGGTGTATTACAATTTATATGCAGGTTTTTCAAACTAGTGTTTGATTAGAAATTTAATGAAGATATTGGTCTCCATTAAATTTTTTCAGGCAAACACTACATGATCTATAAAACTGTAACAGGTAATCTGCTTCATTCTAGAAATAAAATTCAAGTAAACAGGATCATTTTCAGCAATATTTATGTAACCTACAGCTCTGGTGAATTGAAAAGAATTCTATTAATTTGAGGTTAACAAAATTTAATCACTAAATTGATAATTTAATGATTCTTGAAAGTTCTCTACATAATTGTTATTAGGACTTAGGGCATCAACCAACACAGACAACTTTTAAAAAATCTTTTTTGGAAAAAGTGACATTAACAAAGATAAGTTTAACATTCCATCTCTAATACATGGATCTGATCTTCATCTCTTCATCTTATTACCTCTTCTAAGGATATAGCAGAAATGAAAGAAAATATTATAAATATGGCACTTTTCCTGTTATTTCAGAGAAAAAGATTAATGCATTGTTAGACATCCAAATCACTCTGGCTTCCGTTGCTAAAGTTATTTCTCTCTTAAACTTATCTACTACTTTTGGTCCAGACAACATTACTAGCTTACAAATGTTTTCTTTAGAACTCTTTCAAAACTCTCCATATTATATAATAAGTGCTGAACTGAATTTTATTTTCCTGTCTGGAGAACACTCTGATCCTTCAAATTATTGTCAGTCTCTCTATTGTTAGCAAGGTCTTTAATTAAAATATTTCTTTTATCTCAACTTGAGTTTAATAACTTTCTTTCTGACATTTAGTACTGGTATGTTCTTCAGCTGACTTAAACTGTTAAAAAAGAAAAGTTCTATCATGCTGGGGCAATTGCTCTTGACATATCAAAGACTTTCAATAGTATGACACAAGTCTGACATACAGGTCTTCTCCATAAGGTTGCTTCAAATGGTGTACCTGGGAAAGTTTTAGAGATTATTAAATAATTCCTTTCTAATTCCAATATCAAAGTTATCCTTGAAGGTCAACACTCTTCTTCATTTTCAGTAATTTTGGGATATCGAAAGGTTCTATCCTTGATCCTGCATTGTTTCTCATTGTTATTAATGATCTTTCTTACAATCTTTTATTTAAAATGGATCTATTAGCTGATGTCACAGCTATATACTCCTATCTTGACAAAAAGCCATCACTTTTTGCTTCCAACATACATCTTGAATCTGATCTCTCTGGGTTTTGCACTGTTTTTTTGCAAAACTCAGTAATGAGGTAAATATAAGTAAATATTGTGATTTACTTCAAATAATGACAAGTTGCTTTATATTCCTATAGTGATGAATAAATCATCTAGGTTAGGTTTTCTTATTATTCACACTTACCTCTCAATGGAAATCATATATCCAAACAATTGCAAAATTAGCATCTCGTATTTTTCTCAAGACAATAAAAATGTGACTTGGTACCTTTTAGAAAAACACTCTTCAACTCCTCTAAGCTGGTTCTTCTAACGATGCTCTTTATTTTCTAGACAAGGTTCAAAAACAAATGTTGGCACCAAAACTACATTTATTTCTGGACCAAGGTCCAAAAATAAATGTAGTTGGACCAGCTCTATCTCCCAAGCTTATGATGATAAGAAAGTGGCTGACTTTCCCATCATCATAAGGTCATATTTCTTTCTCTTTCTACAAATATATTATGGTTGCTGCTCCAACAAGTTTTCATCTCTAGTTAAATCAACCGAAACTCATTCTTGCTTGACTTGCTTTTTAACAAAGTCATTAAATCTTCTAACTGTATCTATTCTTTCATTCTCTAAACACTTTTATTCGTCTAACTTCCTTGCACTCTTATCTTCCCATGTTTTCCCAACTTATACAATTTATAGTTTTTTAATTCTTCAACAATTTTTATACTCTATAACAACTGTCTGTTTTATTTGCTTTCTTTTTAACAATAATCTTTGCTCTCTAGTAACTCCATACTTGAATAGTGGTTACTATTTATTCTAACTTTGTTTCTAAATTTTCTCTATTAGAAACATTAGACTACATTCTACTAAAAAAACTTAACTTTTCGCTTTCATTGAATTTTTCTCTTCATAAAAAAAACATTTCCTTTTTGTTGATGATTTATGTATTAAAATAACTTGCTTTAATGTGTATTAAAATAACTTTTCAGATTCAATGTAAACACATGTTAAACTGAACAAATGTAAACACATGTTAAACTGAACAAATGTAAACATGTTAAACTAAACAAATGTAAACATATGTTAAACTGGGCAAATATATGCTAAACTTTTTGAAACAAAAACTCAGTAGTTATGCAACAAATTTTGTGAACAAAACATGAGATAAAACCGCAATATTTCTACATTCAACATTTTTTTGAACATAATTTGACATTATTATGGCAATAATAATGTCAAAGAAGAATAAAAGATAAAGTAAAAAAAGGATTGAAAAAAAATAACATACACCAAACTCTTGAAGTTTATATAAATCTGATAACAATGATGACCAATATTGGGGCCATGTTCTTTTGATAATTTCAACAATAACTTTAACAGTAGCTTCTTTTAAACACAGAGGTTCATCAAAATCACACTAAAAAAATAAATGTTAATAACAATTCTTAGAGAAATTTGGAAACGTAGAAAATACTAATAAAAGGAAAATATCTAAGCATAAGAAAATCATTAAAACACATGTTTGTTTAAACAACCAGACAATATAATTAAATGCTATAAAATTATAAGTTTTATTACTGCAATAAAAAAGAGCCACACTACTAAAAATTGCAGCAAAATATTATTGATATTAAAGAAATAAGTTGTATACATATAAGTCATATAGTCATACTAAAAAAAATAGATTTAAACCTAGATACAGTTTGGTAGATAAGGTTTTGAAAAATTATTCTGAGTAATAAAATATATATATATATATATATATATATATATATATATATATATATATATATATATATATATATATATATATATATATATATATATATATATATATATATATATTATTACTCAGTATAATTTTTCAAAACCTTATCTACCAAACTAAGCCATTATCACATGCCGTGTAGTTTCTTTTTCTCTTTTCTATAAATACTATAAAAGGCACTGCTTTAAAGAGCTAGCATCTCTTGTGCTATCTACTAATATTCATTCTTGTATTACTCATCATTCGATTACATCTCTTCCTTTTACTGTGACTGTTTCTAAGTGCTCCAAAAACTCTTATTTATCTAGTTTTTCCTCTAACATCAGTTCTTTGGAATTCGCTTCCTTTATCTTGTTTTCCTGATTCATATAATTTGCAATCTTTCAAGTTGTCTGTCAATCATAATCTTACTCAATAAACTTTATCTTTTCTCTTTCAGTAACTTCCAAATCTAATAGTTGTTGCTTACAGTCTTGTTTAAAGTAAAAATGTCAACAACAAAAAAAGAAATGATAAAAAAAAGATAAAAATGATTTTAAAAAAAATTATGAAAATGATTAAAAAATGTGCCTTTGAAAAAGCTTAACAAGCAAAACATTAAATTCAAGACTAAACCATCAGATATCAGAAGAACTCAAGCACTCTATACAGTACAAAAATAATCTCTTAAAAAATATTTTAGGTCTAAAAATCAAACAAATAAAACTATATATCATAATGAGTATAAAATATTTTGTAATAATCTAAACTCAAAGAAAGCAAGAAAAATACTATGATAACTATTTTACTGAAAACATAAAAAATATAAAAGCAACCTGGAAAGATATCAAAAACATTATTAATATTAAAAGTAACTCTCAAACAACTTCTAATATAATCATACATAAGAATAAAACAATAACAAACCCCTTTGATATTTGTAATATTTTCAACAACTACTTTACTAACATTGGTAAGGATGTCTAGGCAACAATTCCTTCATCCACGTTAAGGTTTTTCTCATTGTCGCAATATTTAGTTGGAGCTAACTATGTTCAAATTGTTGTTGGTCAGATTTTATACGTTATAAAATATATATATTTCATAAAAATAACAAAAAAAACTTTTGCAATTTTCATGTAACTTAAGTTAACAAAAACATGATAAAGTTTTTTTTTTTTTTAAATTTAGCTAAAAAATTCAAGCTTTTTAATAATCTATGCAAAAGAATTTTAAATGTCATTTTTTTACATTTAAAGTTTTGAATAATGATGCTTAGTTAAAGCACATTTTTATTTCAAATGTGTGTAACGTAAATTAAAACTACATACATATTCTAAAGTTCTGGTGCTTTTTGGTTAAGTTTTTGTTTACAATGTGAATTATGTCACTTATTTCGTCACTCTGGGTTGACAAGGTTCAAAGTAAAACTTTTTATATTAGGAGAATTTAAAATAAAAATCTTTTTTTTAACGTAAATTAAAAATATTTATGTTTTTTTTATTTGTTTATGTATTCTTATTTTAGTTGACATATAAATATACGTAAATAACTAAAAGTAAGAATTATATCAATATTTTTATTTACACATTAAAAAAAAAAAAAGAATAACTTGCTATTCTCCTAATATAAAAAAATCAAACTGCTTTACTGATTCGCAGAAATCTTATCTGAAAGTTAAAACAATTTTTTTACCTTGTTTTCCGTGTAATGTAAATTAAATGGCATTTTCAGTAATAAGTTCGCCCTCTTTTGGCCAAACTCAAAACTTTTTAGCTCATTTTATTCTTTAGACTAACAGCTTTCATACAAATTACCTGAAAGTTTAATTTACAGTTTAAATAAGCAAATATTTGATAAAGTTGTTGCCCGTGTAACATAAGTTAAAAATGGAATTGCCCTTATATATTTATGCGTGCTGTTTAAGTTGACAGTTAGATTATGATAAAGCTGATAAAGCCGACATATAATTAAAAGTAACAAAGTTGCATTGACTATATTTTTGAAGGGTTAATTTTATTAATTTTCTTTTCACAACTTAGTCTTTTAATTAATTTAGTTACAATGTTTCTACAATAGGTCTTTTCCTTCAAATGTATAAATATTTGGAACAAACTAAAGAACTAAAGTTTCCATGCATATACCTATCAACATAAGAAATATACCTGTAAAGACGACAGTTAAAATAAAGCATTTTTAACGTCCGTGCTTAGTGTATATATATATATATAATTTTTTTTCTTTAATTAAACAATATTTATCTATAAAATATTTTTTAATTATAAAAAAGCTTAAAAGATATACAGTTCATGAAATATTTTAGATATATATTTTTTCACTAACATATACAAGTTTTTCTCTTTGCAGCAATAATATCATATTAGAATGTCGAATGAATGAAATTAAAAAAAAATTAGAATAGGCTCTTGGTGAAGTAAAGGCTAGAGATGGTGCCTCGATAAAAAATACTCATCTTGGGCAGATGTTAAATGCATCCGGCTGCTGTCTTGTAGAAGACCTCCTAGGCAAAGACTTAAGGGGTAAACAGATTCTATCTGTTGACCAGCCTCTCACCCCTTCTCCATCTATTAGGCTGGCGCAGATGTATTTTTAATACATTGTTTCCAGTTTAGGATGTTGAACGCTGGATCTTCTTGACTCGATGCATGGGTTTTGCTTGTGTCTCTGTTTTTATGACTAGGCAACTCATTCTATTATCTCCAAATGAGGGTACAGCTCTAAAACTCAGTTTTATGGTTCTGGGGCCGGCTGGTAGTCAGGTTTCCCGAACTCTGTGGTAGCTCTCAGAGAGGCTGATTCCATCAACAGCTGAAAAATGTCAGAGTACTAACAGTGCCATGTTGCGCATGGATGGTGTCCCTGTTTGTACTTTTGGTGTGCATTGCCAAGGCCACATTGGAGCCCTTTGTTACGACTTAGGCTTAGTGGAAATGAGGCAATTGCTTGGGCTATAAAACAGTGTACTGAGTACTATCTATGTTTCGAGTCAAGTTCTTTAACAAATTTAAAAATGAATAAAGTAACAAAAACTATAAAACACAAAAAACCACAGTCATCACCAAGTTCGTTAAACCTATCATTCACCAATATTCAAGGTCTTCAAAGTAACTTTTCTTCTGTTGAGTCTTATCTCTTGCAAAGTTCACCAGACCTACTTGCTCTTTGTGAGACTAATTTGAGTTCAGCTGTCTCATCTTGTGATCTTAGTGTTGATGGTTATTTTTCTTTAATTCGTAAAGACTCCAATAGTCACATGCTTGGCCTAGGCATTTACATTTGTAAGAATTCACCCATTTGTCGGGAAACTAGGTTTGAATCCACAGACTACTCTTTTATGTGCTTTCGTTTATCACCTTTCTCTTTTTTCTATATCGCTCTCCTTTATCTCAAGACTGCACTCTTCTTGATGTTATTTCTGATTATATTGACTAAGCCCTCATTCTTTATCCATCAGCCAATATTGTTGTTGTCGGTGACTTAAAGGTTCATCACACTTAATGGCTTGGCTCAAGTGTCAGTGACTCCGCAGGCATTAAGGCCCACACCTTTTGCCTTTCTCAATCCCTAACTCAAATAGTCAACTTTCCAACTCTCTTTCCAGACAACCCGAATCATTTACCTTCTCTACTCAACTTATGTCTTGTTTCTAATCCTAGTCAGTGCTCAGTTTCTCCACACTCACCCGTAGGTGCTTCTGATCATGGTTTGGTCTCTCTAAAACTATTATCTCATTCTTCTTTACCATCAGAAACCCCCTATCATTGTACATCTTACAACTACCTTAAAGCTGACTGGGACTCTTTCCGTGATTTTTTTGGTGATGGCCCCTGGGTAGAAATCTTTTGTCTTCCTGTTGACAAATGTGCTTCTTACATAACATGGTTTTCCTCACATTGTGCTGCTGCAATTGCCAATCAAAACCATTACTCCCATATCTATCAGCAAAACAATTCTCCAGAAAACTGACGTCTGTTTATTACTGCTAGGAACCATTGTAAAAAGGTTTTGTCTAATGCCGAAGCCCGCTATTCTCAGATCATGAAATCTCGTATTTCATCACAAAAATTAGGCTCTCGTGACTTCTGAAGAATCTTTAATAGTATCAATAATAAGGGGAAGTCTGTAATTCCACCTCTTTTGTACGGTTCAGACTTTGTCACCTCACCTAAAGACAAAGCTGAATTGTTTGCCAAGAACTTTTCATCAATATCATCTCTTGATTCCACTAGTTGCGCTCTACCTGATATAGCCATCAAACAGGTTGATCCACTGCTTGACATCCGTATCACTCCAGCTTCTGTATCTTAAGTGATTTCCTGCTTAATCTCTTCTACATCTTGCAGCCCGTACAACATACCTGTTATAGTCTTGCAGAAGTGTTCTCCGGAGCTGTCGTCTATCCTTTCAAAACTATTCAACAAGTGCTTATCAAAGTCTTGTTTTCCAGCCTGCTGGAAAGCAGTATCTGTTATCCCTATTTTTAAAAATTCTGGAGAGCGATCCGATTCGTATAACTACCGTCCCATTAGTCTTCTTCCTATCATAAGCAAGGTTTTTGAATCTTTAATTAACAAACACTTAATCTCTTATCTCGAATCTCATAACCTACTTTCTGATCATCAATATGGATTTCGATCTTCTCGTTCTAC